GATTGCCTGTTTAATTTCTTCTTGGACCCATAGGTCATTCAGGAGCCTATTATTTAGTTTCCATGTATTTGTATAGCTTCCAGAGTTTTGCTTATTGTTTATTTCCAATTTTAGCTCATTGTGGTCTGAAAAGATAGTTGGAATGATTTCACTTTTTTTAAGTTTCCTGAGGCTAGGTTTGTGACATAATATGTGGTCCATCCTGGAGAATGTACCATGAGCTAATGAGAAGAAAGTGTATTCTTTAGCTGTTGGGTGAAATGTTCTGTATATATCTGCCAAGTACAGTTGGTCTAGGGTGTGGATTAAATCCTGTGTCTCTTTGTTAACTTGTTGCCTGAAAAATCTGTCCCATACTGAGAGAAGGGTTTTCAGATCACCCACTGTTAATGTATTAGGTCCTATTTCTTTGTTTAGGTCTTAGGGTGTTTGCTTTATATATCTGGGTGCTCCAGTATTGGGTGCATACATGTTTATGATTGCTATGTCTTCTAGCTGGATAGATCCCTTTATCATTGTATAGTGGCTTTCTTTGTCTTTTTTTATGTTTTTTGGTTTAAAGTCTACTTTGTCTGATAAAAGAATAGCTACTCCTGCTCATTTTTGGTTTCCATTTGCATGGTATATCTTTTTCCATCCCTTCACTTTTAGTCTATCTGTGTCTCTACAGGCAAGGTGGGTCTTTGAAAACAGCATATACTTGGGTCTAGGTTTTTAATCCAATCAGTCAGTTTGTGTCTTTTGAATGGGGAGTTTAGTCCATTCACACTTAGGGTAGTTATTGACAAGTATTGCTTGATTCCTGTCATTTAACTGCTTTTTGTTTAGATGGTTTAAATATCTTTCAATCATTATTTCCCCTTTTATTTCTCTTCTTCAATGTTAGTTGGGAATTTAAGGTGGAATGATTTTGCTTCTTTCTCCTTCTTGCTGGCATTTTTGTTTTAACAGTGGGTTTTGGTTTTTCTTGTGTATTTGTGATACTGGTCATCATTATTCAGATTCCAGATGAAATACTCCTTTGAGAATTTCTTGCAGGGCTGGTCATGTGGTGGTGAACTCCCACAACTTTGGTTTGTCTGGGTAATATACTATTTCTCCCTCATTTCTGAAGGAGAGCCTTGCTGGCTAAAGAATTCTTGGCTGGCAATTTTTTTCTTTTAGTATTTTGAATATATTGTTCCACTTTCTTCTGGCCTGTGGTGTTTCAGTTGAGAAGTCTGCTGTTAGTTTGATGGGGGTTCCCCTGTAAGTGACCTGACACTTCTCTCTTTCTGCTTGTAGAATTCTCTCTTTGTCTTTGAGCTTTAACTATAATGTGTCTTGGGGAGGATCTTTTTGGGTTGAATCTGTTTGGGGACCTTTGAGCTTTCTGGATCTGAAGGTCTATATCTCGCCCCACACCTGGGAATTTTTCTGTTATTATTTCCTTGGATAGGTTTTCAGTACCTTTTCCTTTCTCCTCCCCTTCAGGAATACCCATGATTCAGATGTTAGCATGCTTGAGGTTGTCTGCTGTCTCTCTTACATTTTTGTCATTATTTTTAATTCTTTTTTCTTTCTTTTTTTTTTTTTTTTTTTTTTTTTTTTTTTTTTTTTTCTGCCTGGGTTATTTCAAAAAAACCATCTTCAAGCTCTGAAATTTTTCTGCTTGCTCTACCCTGCTGCTCAAGCTCTCAGTTGTGTTTTTTATTTCACTGAACGAATCTTTCATTTCTAGAAGTTCTGCTACACTCTTTTTTAAGGTATTAATCTCTTTGTAGACTTCCTCCTTCATATTCTGCATATTTTTTCTTGTTTCATTGTGTTCTATAATTGAGTCTTCCTTTATTTCTTCAAGTTTTCTTAAGATCATTGCTTGAAATTCTTTTTCAGACATTTCAAGGATTCCCTGTTCCATGGAGTCTGACTTTGAAGCACTACTGTATTCTTTTGTTGGTGTCATTTCTTCTTGTTTGTTTGTACTTCTAGTATTTTTTGTTGACATTTGGTCATTTGATAGAAGCTTTGCTTCTTCTATTGCACTGAGTTTGGCTGTGGAGTGGCCCTGGTTGCTACTGTGGTGGTGAATTGTCTTTGCTTGACAGTAGGTGTGGTGGTGGTTATGTTAAATCACCTTGGGTCTTGTTCCAGAATCTGTGGTCATAGAATGAGCCCCTAGTGCTGCACAGTTCTGCTGGGCATACCTCGGTGGGTCAGATTCCAGGGGCTATTGTTCCCTTCCAGGTCCAAGGAGGGGGTTGGGGCCACCTCTAGCCATGCGGATCCACCACTGCTGCTGGGCTCACTTCAGTGTGGTATGGGTCAGGGTGTGGGGCGGGGCTGGGCTGGCACTTCCCTCCAGGTCCAAGAAGGGGCAGGGCTGCCACTCTCAAAATCTTTTTTTAAATGATAGATAATTCTAAATATGTATAAATAATTAAAAATAAAAATAACCATGAGATAACCTCTATTTTAAAAATCAGATAAATCCATGCATTCCTTAAAAATACAAAATGTTTAAACAGACCACTTTCCTTAGGAAAATAACAGAGACTGTGAGTATGGAACAATTCCACAGAAAGGCATGAGGTCAAAATAGTTTCACAGGAACCTTCTAACTCACCTTCAAAGATCAGATGGCTCCAGTTGGTTTGCTTCATAATTTTTTCCAAAGCATTGAAAAATACAGACAAAAGGTGAAAAGAACTGGGTAAGGGAAGCAGAAAGAGGTCTTAGCCCACATCCCCTGGGGCCAAGAGCACAAAGAAAGCTCTGAGACTGTTATTCGGGTCCATAATAATAGTCTCCTGCTCAAGTTGCAGCCCGGGATACAGCAATCATCACATTCATTGGACTTTAGAATGGGAACTGTGGGTTCCAGACTGCATCAAAATTACCCACATCTCTGAAGCTTCCATTACAAAAGATGATGACCTTCTGGCTTAGTGACAAATAAACTGAGACAGAGAGTTGTGAGCTTGCTTTCACAGCACACCTGTTCCTTGCAAAACAAAGAAAGGTGGACTTTTGTTACCTCAGGGACTTCTTCCCCTAAAACCCTGGCAAATGCCCCCCTGTATAAAGGACTGAAGGAGAAAGAATCCAGGGCATGGTGGAAATGCCTCAGATTTCTGTCTCCAGAAGCTCCTCTATGGGGATTATACCCACAAGCAGGGTGTCATCCCCCAGTCAGGCTCTCCAAGGAGCAAACTTAATCTATCTATAAACATTCTGGGTCCTCACTATCTATCAGACCTTCATAGAACAGATTTGAGGAAATTCTATAGAGAATAAGAAGGAAATGGTCCACATCTGAACAGTCTGAGTGAGAGAAGCAGACCCAAGAGCTCATGGTATGATGGGGCTCATCACAGGTGGAGGAAAGTCACACATCAGTGAGGACACCGTTAGTCCAACTCCCCTAGAGTCAGCTCAGTGGTTTACCGGCTGTCCGGCACACACCTGTTCTCTTAGGACATCACACAGCACCCTCTGCTGGCAACAGAGCCCACCTCCTCCAGTCACTGTGATGACTCTAGGCACATGGGGCAGAGTCCTTTCTGTACAGTGGTATTTCCTGGTGTCGCTATCTAAGACAAAACAGTGAGAAGTGTCCTTTATAGGTCCACCACTGGAATAGTGATGCTCTCACAGTTGGAGTTTTATCTCAATGTAAAACCATCATTTTTTTTAAATGTCAGTGTCTGTCAACTGTAGTCCAACAGCTCCAACTTTGCCTGCTGTTTCCAGACACTGGATGTGGCATGTAAAGGAACAGTTAAAGAGTGCAGGAAAAGAGAAAACACATGT